CCTTCATCTTCTTCAAGAGTACCACTCCAATAGCGACAACCAAAATCCAAATGTTGTTACCCACGAACTTCAACAGTTCGCCGCCGGTTCTAAGTGCCAAGGAAACAACCGAACCCAGCAGCCCAGGAAGACCGGCTGCCATCTTTTTTCCCAAGTCCGTTAGTCCACCGCCTAATTTCTTTACGCCCGCGCCTGTAGCCTTAAGTGTGCTAAGGATCACGCCTACTAYGCTCGAAATAGCAACCGCAAATGCCAGCGGAACGCCATACTTCAAAAGGGCTCTTTTTACCTTTTCCTTGGTGGTAAGCCCTAATTCTCTTTCCAAACCTTCTTTTTGCGCCTGTAATTCTGCAAGACGTATTTCGAGCGTATCTACTTCCTTTTGAGCTGCTWSCCTTTCTTCCTCGGTACTAGTTTGRTCCTCGATTACTTCTTGCTGCCGCTCTATTTGCCCCTCCAGGTCTTCGATGGCCTGATCTCTTTGCCGGATTTGTTCCTCCATGGCGTTAATTTCAGCCATTAACCGTCGCCTTTCCACTAAAGAGCCGGTTATGGTGGTTTGTAAGTCCTTAGCGTCCTCACTTCTTAAATCTAACTCTTGCAGGGCAAGGTTAAGGGCCTTTTGAGTYTGATTTCTTTCACGTCGAATTCGGGTTCTTTGGTCTACCAGCTCACTTATTTCTTGATTTTTGAATTCGACTTCCCTCCTATGTGCGTCGGCGAGCCGTTGGTTTTGCTTCATGTATTCTTCCTCCCTTTCTTCCAGCGTTTCCCGCAGCGCTTCCRTTGAGGTGCCAGAGCTTTGAGCTTTTTCTAGGTCCCTTTGTGCTTTGTCTCTTTCGCGCAGGGTTTTATCCAACTGGTTTTTTATTTCTTTTATTCTTTCATCTTGATAGGCGGACTTCTTTTCAGCATCAGCGAGTAGTTGACCTTGCTTTGCGTACTCTGCGTCTCTTTCTTTTAACGTTTTTTGCAGTTCGATGGCGCGTTTTTCTAGCGCGACCCTTTCATTCAAATTTTCCAACCTTTCTAATGCACTCCGGGTAGCCACTTGGAAGSCCCTTAATCTTGCCACGTTAACCTTAACCGAGCCATTTTCGTCGAAAAGGAGCTGTGGTTTTGTCCAGCGGTCCTTGTCGGGATACCTCAGGTCTCTAACGCTTATTAGGACTTTGTTTCCGCGCTCTGTAAGTTTTACACCGTCAGCATCAAGGTGGGTGTAGCGCAGCTCTAGCTCCTGCTTTGCCCACTCTACGGTTTCCCGCGCAGCTGCCTCCGGCTGCTCCACGKTTTGAAGCTCCAAGTACTCGGGGATGGGTTTGCTGGGGTTTTTAGATGACCACATGTCTCTTAAGGTGGCTTTGGCGCGTTCCCATCTGCTGCCATACTTGCTTTCTA